AGACCCGAGCAAAGCCGCGGAGGCACAGAGGTCCCGCCGCCTCTGCGGCTTTGCTCCTGTCTCCCTGCTGTGCTGGGGGAGTCCCCCCCAACACAGCAGGGAGACCCAGCAAAGCCACACAGGCGGCAGGGTCCCCCGCCTCTGCGGCTTTGCTCCTGTCTCCCTGCTGTGCTGGGGAGTCCCCCCCAGCACACCAGGGAGACCTGGAGCAGCTTTTCTCGCCCCAGAGGACGTGGTGGCGGGACCGCTGCGCTCCGGGAGGTCCCGCCGCCTACGAGCTCCGGGGCAAGAAAAGCCCCGTTCGTAAGTCGGGGACGGCCTGTACTACATTAAACTATCTGCTATACTTAAATATGCTGGGAAAACAGCAGCTGCTCTACTGAACTATTCACTAAAGCCAAATCCTCTTCTCAGCAATCACTTGAATTGCCAGACCAAGTTAGTTTCAAGAAATGATTCGGACAAAGTATTCCCCTTCACCCCCAGCTACAGAACATTACAAAAGTCACTCCATAGTGCTATAGTAGCTCACAGCCAACTATCTCCCTAGTCATGAATTAGGCAGCCCCCTCTGCTACCCTGAATACTGGATTATGGGGGAGCTGCTATTAAGGATGTTAAAATGCTATTATCTGGCTAGTCGTATAGTCGATGCAATTTGTATCAACTATACAATTAGTTGATAAGCACTGCTCTGCTGCCTCTCATGACTGCAAGGAGTACAGGCTCTGGCTCGAGCTGCCCTCAGCATTTGATTTATGGGTCTACACTAGACTCACTAAATCCAACACCAGAACGTTGAACTCCGGTGCGGTCTTCAAATATGTGATTTTTGTTATCATTGTTTCCCTTACCTCTTAATCATTGCAGACCCACTTTTTCCTTTTTCTTTATACCTCCATGTATTCCCCTTACTACGAGCTTTTCCCAACCTTTAAGTTTACTCTAAAACACACACACAAGTCATTTACATGGCATCTGGATTCCTCCCACTTTTAGCATACTTCAATTGTTGGCCTCCCTAATCTTCGCTTTAAAAACTGTGTGTGGGGGAAACCATAATTAATTTATGAGAGATCTCTCAATGGAGGATATTGCAATTATTTTATTATAGTAATGATGGATGAACTGGTAAAACCACAACTCATTTTGCATTAAAGAATATCTGCAGATAGTCCTTGTCTACTCCAATAGAATTCTTTTTCCTAAAAGAATATAGGGTTTGGAAAGATGTCAGATCAAAAGCACTGCCAAATTAAATCCCCCACCCAAAGTCAGAACAGCACAGACAAGGGAAGTGCTAGATTCCTCACATTTCTACATCCTGGTGAGAAGATCAGAGCCCATGCCCATCCATTCTTTGGTCTCTTTTTCAGACTACCAACAGTGATGCTAATTGTCACTGATATCCACAAGGAGCTAGAATAACACCAAATAATAAAATACAGGACTAGAGGCTTGGCAGTCTTTTTGGAATATTCATTATGCAAGATACAAATGTGTGATAGATCACACAATGAAGTGGAATGGCAGATATAGTCAGATGCACAGTGAAAGTAGTTTCCAAACAAACAATCTGGGCAAGATTTAAACTAAAGCCTTTGGCACTAGAGCCTTTCAGTTATTGCCAACTACCGATTAATACTTACTCCTTTTCATTTTTGGGGGGTGTTTGAACACCAAAGAAATATCAGATACAAAGAATCATAGCTGGTAACATTAAAACAACATTATTTAAATTCATAATTGGCCTTCTCATTCTACTGCATTCTCTCCATAGTATAACAGCATAAATTAATGTCACAATTATAATGTTATTTGGACATTAGTTTTGTATTTGTTTTTAAATAGCAAGGATTTCACATAGCAGTTGCTTTTGAAATAAAGACAAAAATGCATCTAAAAAACTTAGAAACTTCTTCCCTCCCCCTTGCACAAACCTGAAATTTATATAAAAACTTCTGATGTTATTTTATTCAAATTTCATTTTACCTACTTTTTCCCTCCCTCAAACATCACCGATATAGAGGAAAGACTTTCTTTTGCATCAGCTGAAACTGAGGGTAAGTTTTTAAAAACAAATTATAAATTCAAACTATGTCAACATTTCTATGAAATTAAGTGTGCAAGATGTTGGTGAAATGAATGAATTAGTTCTCAGGTTGGGTAACACTTTCAGAAATATCTTGTCTATAACATAAAAGGGTTATTTATTACAGAGGTCAATTAAGCTAGGAGACAGCATGACAGACTCAAGGTTTTTTTTTTAAAGGCAACATCAAAACAAAGAGGAGCTGATAGCATACTTCTATGTCCCTGCTGTGCTGTATTGCTTTTCTCCCTTAACCCTGAGGAGTAAGTTACAAGACACCCATAATTTTGCACAACTCTAGTGCTTTCTTGCTCTCTTTCCACTACTCCCAAAATGTCCACAGTACACATGGTTTTGATTATACAGTATATTATACACATAGGTCACATTAGAAATCTGTTCTAACTACAGCATCTTCAAGTCTGTTGAAAATTAACTTGCAAACATATTTTTGAGGCTGTTAAATTTCTTCTGGAAACAAACAAGCCCAAGGGAATGAGTGATATTCTGAACATCCTGCTTCAGCCAACCCAGGGAAAAAAATAGCAACACAGTGATGGGGGTGGGAGTGGTGATGCATTACAGAGCTGACAACTGCCTCATTTCTGCTGGGAACAAGTCAAATAAACAGCACCACTTTTTTTGTTTGTTGTGATGCATTACAGAGCTGACAACTGCCTCATTTCTGCTGGGAACAAGGCAAATAAACAGCACCACTTTTTGTGTTTAATTAGACCTTCTGGGGATATGGAGATCTAAACAAGACTAGTTCAACTTAAAAAACAACAAATGGTCTGGTAACACAGTATAGACTAACAAACCATGTAGATGGTATCATGAGCTTTCGTGGGCACAGCCCAAAAACTCGGTCTTCTGAAGACGTGGGCTGTGCCCACAAAAGCTCATGATACCATCTACATGGTTTGTTAGTCTATACTGTGTTACCAGACCATTTGTTGTTTTTTAAGTTTATCCTGTACAGATTAACATGGCTACCCCCTGAAGCTTCAGGACTAGTTCAGTTATCTTCCTTGTTGCCTTACGCGAAACTTTTAAAGGCTGATTTCTTTTCTTCAAACACGAGCAAAGGAAGCATAGTTGAATATTGCCCCTTCATCCCACTACCCATACTGAATATAAAATACCAGTGGATTTAGCGACAGTGTTTACACCCTCGAAGTTTTAAAAACCAGAAACGCTAACCAGCGGCTGTCACAGGATAGTTAGCAACCAGTGCAAGAGAAAAGAAACACAGAACACTACATATAAATGAGAAGGGCGGAACACACATTTCATGGGTTGGAGTAGCTAGCAAAGCTTACAGCCATGAAAATGGACAGCTGGTTGGGGGGCGGGGGGAGAGCAGTGAAATGGTCTCCGCCTTCATCTTTCCAGCCTCACAATCTCAGGCAGTATTATTGGGGCATTCCGGAGTTCAGTAAACCCCGTAAACACTCTCGTGCTTCTCTGGGGACCTTCATCCAATTCCTTTCTAACTTGTTGGCTCTATATGGTCACTTCACTGTGCCATCAACGCTGTGTACAGCCGCGTACACGCACGCTACCCAGCCACTGCTCGCAAGTACTTACGCTGCACTCACACACCTGTGTGCACATACAGCCACCCGGCACTTACACGCCCGGCCGAAGCGCCCCCGGCAAAGCTCGCCCTTGGCACGGAGGCACCAATCGGTGGCCCCGTGAGAAAAGACCGAAAAGACACGAGCCCCCCGCGCAGGGCACAGCTGCATGGGGCGCGCTCAGTGCCGTGGCTGGCACAAGCAGCCCAGCCCTGGGGCGCACGCGATGCCCCGTGGCCCAGCTCAGCCTCTCCGCCGTGGGCGCGGCCCCGGAGCCCCCCGCACCTTTTGCTCAGAGGCCGAACCCGCACGGCCACCTTGACAGTCGCCATGTCCCGCCTCAGCCCCGAGGGGAGACGCCGCCCGCGCCCCGGCTCCGGCTCACATCGCTGCCCGCGAGCAGCCGGCCACCCCGCGCTCGCGCTGCTCCCCGCTGTCCCCAGAGCCAGGGGATTGGCGGGGCCCCGCCGCCGCCCAGCGCAGCCCCCGGGGGGAGGGGCTGCCCGCGGCCCGCCCTAGAGCGGGAGATGGGGCGGGGCTCTGTCCCGAGCGAGGGGGACGCGGCTGGGGCGCTAGGCCCTTTGCTGGGAGCGCTGGGAAAGCCAGGGCGCCCGCGCCCGTGGTTCGTGCCTCGGCCGGAGCGGGGAGCCCCCAGGGCACACTGCTCCGGACTGCAGGAACCTGCGGGCGGGGCTCCCTGGCCAGAGCCTTTCTACCGCTGAAGCTCCGGCTTTTGTTTTTCCAGCAGGTCTTCTGGTGTGGCCGGGGCCTGTACCAGCTGTGGCAGTGAGAGCGCAGGACCGTTTTAGGCAGTGCGGGGGGTACAACTGAAATTGGGGGTTGGAGGGTGTTTGAATCTACAGGGGGTGTCAGGACCAATGAGGGGTGAGACTGTGAAAGAGGGCAGTATGTTTTGCAATGTGCACTGCTTTGCATTTATCAGTCTCAACTATACATGGCAAATGATGGAGTCATTCCACTCAATGTGCAGCAACAGTCAAAAAAAAACACTAAGGAGATCTTAAGAACCATTAGGAAAGTGATAAAGACAGAAAATATAATTCGGTGTATGCGCACATCTTGAATACTATGTGCAGTCTGGTCGTCCCATCCTCCAAATATGTACCTACATGCACACATACACACAAAATTTGGAAATTATGCAGAGAAGGGCTACTAAAATGATTAGGGATATGAAACTGGATGAGATTAAAATTATTTGGACTTTTCAACTTGGAAAAGAGACAACTAAGCAGGGATATGATACAGGTCTATACAATTTTAACTGGTGTGAAGAAAGTGAATATTTGTCAGGTAGCTGAAGAAGTAGGGGACATTCAATTAAATTAATAAGCAACAGATTTAAACAAACCAAAATGAAGACTATCTTCAGGTGACATACATAAAGCCCTGGGTGGATAAAAAATTTGTATCCACAAAAACACTGTCCCAGAACAGTTCTAAACATGTCAGCTTTAAAGTGGCCACTTAAAAAACCAAGATTTTCTATGGAGTAGGAATGTAAAATCCTGTTTTATTAGTTAACTGGTTAAAATTTATGTTTAACCAGTTAACTGATTAAATGGGGGCAGCTGGGCTAGAGCAGGCTCCCTGCTGCAGGTGGGGGTGCTTTGTCTGGGCCAGAATGCCCCTGCCCATACTGTGCCCAGACTAGGCCCACTATGGATGGAGGCTGCTCATGGTAGGCCCTGTGGGGTTGTAGCAGCCCACTGCCTATGATGGGTGGAGAGGCTTCTTTAACTAGTTAACCTTTTAAATTCCTACCATGGAGCCTAATCAGCACTGTCATTAAACATTGGTGAGGTGCAGCAGGTCAAAAAGTATATGTGATTCTTAGGCAGACCATCAGGCACCTGTTCCCACCCTCTCTCTCCACTGGGATCAATTGAGGGAGACACACATACAGGCTAAGTGCAGTTCTGCTGCCTTTTACACATAGATAAAGATAATATTGAATTACCCTGGCATTCAAGTGATTTTTAACGCAACCCCAGTCAAAATTGATCATTTGGGCAACACGGTGATGTAACCAGTTGATAATTTGGGGAGTTCTGGGGAAATTCACACTGGGTATAGAGAAATCCCTGGCACTGGCAGCTAACGTGTACACATTTCAAATTATTACAGACCTCGCTGTTGCCACTGGCAGTTGTATGCAAAGGCCCTAGGCATAAACACATTAAATAACTGTGTAGGGTCCTGTGTACCTCAAGGGTGCTCCTTATTAGTATATGTTGGGGGTGTGGCAAAAAAAGTCCTGCTTGGAGACCCTAATGAGGTAGCCCCAGCACTGCTTAAATGTCTGCCTCTGGTGATCAGACAGTTAGTTGTAACACTGGCAGTTGAGAAGGCCAATGAAATGCAGATATGTAGACTCCTGTGCCTATACAGAAAACTACTGACTTCAGTGGGAATTCTGCACAAGCCCAAGGCATTCATCTGTGCTCAGGTGATTGCAGGGCAGCAGTGTAGGCCAGGTAGTAGGAGGCAGACAATGCAGGTTCTCTTCCAGCTCTACAACTGAAATTCTGCTCAACCGTAGGTAATTTCTTCCTATCATTCTTCAGTTTCCTCAGTTGTAAAATGGAGATAATTATCCACCCTTGTGAAGAAAGTCAATTTTAAATTTAAGGATAAAAAGTGCTAAGTGCAAGATATTTCAGTTATTAAGCCTCACAAATTGCTCTGTGATAGTTAAAGTACAAAGAGCTCACATTACTCATCGCCAACATTCAGCTGTAGTGAGATGCAGTTATCGAGCTGTGCAAAACCAGCACTGTACAACAATTTAGAACTGTAAATGCAAATAAATAACACTCTAAGTTAAAATAGCTGGGGAAACTGTAGCAGACAAACATGGAATTTGGTCATGACAGAGAAGTTCTCACCCTTGCAAGCAGTTCTATTTTGTGGGCTTCAGTGGTCATAAGTTGTCAGGATCTTGGTTTTATATCTTTGAAAAGAGTTAAGAAAAAACTACATACTGTCTTATGTTCTATGCTCAAATTATTACATTGCAGCTAGATCTAAGTAGTCGAGTACTGTAAAACTGTTTTCAAATTCCAAAGTGCTGTTTAATTCAGGCATGTTCAAACATTTGATTAATGCTGAAAATTGGGACTGCTTGTGGACTGCTAATATTAATTCTCCTGTATTCATTAGTTCACATCTTAACATTAGCAGAAATTATTTTCTGTTTGCAAGCAATTTGAAACCAGAAAAATTAGATAAATTGATTTAAAAATGTATTAACCAATAATTTGAACAATTCTAATTACTACTCCCCTTCCTGCCAAGATTACATACACAGTACACTGGTACTATCTATTTAGAACAGCTACATAGACATTTCAGGATTTTAACCATTTTCTTCTGTGGTGGACCAGCTATAAGCAATATCCTTAGGTTTGAATCTGAACACATTCACTATTGTTCACCTATGGTCCATCTAACATCTACTTTTTTTGTTTCATTTTTAAATGTTATAAATGTTTCCATATAGTTTGTGCATTTCTGCAAGATACAATATATTTACTGGCAGTTAACAGCTCTGGAAGAATGAAGTATCTGTGCTATTGAGTCAGCTAGTGGTTGATTTTCAAAAAATTAAGGGGGTTGATTTTATTATTCAGGCAGCTCATTTAAAACAAAAAAAACATACAAACAAGCTGGATAAAAGAAAATCTGATTTTTCATCAAAGATTCTGATCCTCGTGTGACAGAATGGGATGTGTCTATACCAAATTATTAACTCCAGTTTGAACTATGTATTAACACAAGTCTTCATACAACCTATTCTGTTGCATTCTAGACAACTGCACTGCACAGGAAACATTATTTACACTTCACTGAAGGACTATCATTGGATATCATCAAGGCTGTAGTCTGGAGCCATTAAATTTTACTGCCTCAACAACTGGCTTTCTTCTGCCAAACAACAATTTTTTACACAGGGATCCCATAAGTGGGGCAAGCATGGTAATATTGAAAGGGAGCATGTGTGGAGATTGCAGCTTCTCATTTAAGCATGACACAGAGAAGATACCTTATTTCAGAGCAGGGCTCTGTTTTATGCAGCAGTGTCTGACCATCATCATATGAAGGACATGCAAGAGAGGGGGGCACTCTGCCTAGGCAGAAACGGTAACAAACCTCAAACTTACAGAAGGGATGAGAAAAATGTAAAAAACAACAAACAGACTAATAGCACCTAAAAGACTAACAAAAAAGCTTGTGCTCCTACACTTCAGTTAGTCTATAAGGTGCCACAGGACTCCTCATCGCTTCTGCAGATTCAGACTAACACGGCTACCCCTCTAATACTTGACACCATGCAAGGCACTGCATTTAGCCGTATGGAGTGGAAATCTATCAACCTCATGAAGAAACTTGCACAAGTACAAACAGATATCATCTTTCTCTCCAAATGCAAACGGATGGACATTATACCAAATGGACTGAAGGTGAAAAATCAGGTAGTCTATAAGGTGCCACAGGACTCCTCATCGCTTTTGCAAATTCAGACTAACACTGCTACCCCTCTGATACTTAACAAAGGAATGAGGTCAGACACGAGAAGGCTATAACTCTCAAGTGCTTTCAGAGTACTATCACTGTGTAAGAAATTCCTTTGCTAAGGCAGCATTCTTTGCTTTCTTGCATGTTGTCCCCAAAGAGTGAAGCCCTGAGTGTCCACATTTTAAATGAAGCTAATGGACTTTGAAAGGTCTCAGTGTGGAGTTTAGTGTGACTGGTTGGCAGTGTCCCACATACTAAAGAAGAGTGTCATATAAGATGTCTGAGCTTGGGGGTGTGCCCCTTTTTTTTCAGAGCTAGCAACAGTGCCTAGACCAGACCTAAACCCACAGGGCTATGTTGGTGCTCTATGCAGTCCAGCACCAGCACTCCACGCTCCCCCATGAGGGGGGAGGGGGGTGTTCTGGCTGCTCTGCAGAGAGTTCTGCAGGGATAGAAGTTGTTAGGGGTGAAGGGCTGCCAACACTCCTGGACCAGACACCGCTTGCTGCACTGGTTGTCTTCTCAGCCTGCATACTGAACCCCTCATCCCCAGCTCCACTCCAGAGAAATGATTTAAATTAAGAAAAACAAAATTTGAGTTAAGGACTCGAGAATGCCAAGTAAATTTTCTAATGTTAACATCATGTCTGCTTGCCCTAGCTATATAACAGACCCAAAAAAGATGTTGTTCTAATTGGAAAGCAATAATTTTGTAAAGGGAAAAAGTTCTATCTCCAAGTCATCTGTTCCTTATGGAATCTTAGCATATTTTTTTACATCTTAATTTATCCATGAATAGTCCTTAATCTAAGATTACTTGTAATGGCTACTCTATAAAAAGTGGCTTCATACTTGATGCTGTTCTTTCAAAATTTCTATTGCAGTTATCCACCCCTCTTACTAATGTGTATCCCCAGTTTATTTCTCCCAGTGAATGCAAGGAAACATCACATGGACCTTTGTAAGTTAAAAGCACTTTACAAGCACAAACTAACAACATTGACAAGACGTATAGGATAAATATGAAATAAGTATCTTAAATTTGGTAATGGAAACGTGTTATAAACAAAGGCCTTGAACAGGAGAAGTTTCCACAGAGGTGATTGCAAATGGTGTTAAATAAGACAAAATGGTGGTCTTAAAATGAGCCAATATGGCCTTTCCCAACATCAAACTAGTAGTAAAGCCTGTGTGAATCCAGGAGCAATGGAAAGCTAGGAGCAAGGCCGAGGAAAGGACAGGCCCTGGGAAGAAATGAAGTTGTCAATCTTATGTGGATTAAGACTGAAAAGAAGGGTGAACTGTTTCTTTTTTTTTAACTGAAGTCAGTAATTGGCATGAGGGTCATTGCTAATGAGTGTCAGTTACTATTGGAGCCAACTAATGGCCATCTACGCATCTTGAGCCAATTTGTAAGTATCTTGATCAAATGCTTGTAGGTGTTTGTTACTGTTTGGGTATAGTAAATTGCTTATTTTAAGGCACTTTTAGCAATTGTATAAGTACCATTTAGCCTTTGGATTTAATAAAGAATTTATGGTTAAATGAGTGTTTGGCATCAATATTAATTTCACATTAATGCCAAAAGAATGAAAATATTTCATTAGCACAACATTTGACATAAGGAAAAAATAGAAGCACAGAGGTAAAGTCACTTGGCTGAGGCAGCACAACTCATCTATACAATCAGAACTGAGAAGGTCCTGGTCTCCAGCCATATCTGGAATGGCAGTACTCAATCTGACTGTTTGAATATTCTGAAACTTGTAAATAGATCATCCTTTTTTAGTCTGAAATTTAAACAAATTTCTCTATCTTGTTGCCAAATGCTATTTTTGTTTACCTTATAATTTAAACAGTGAATAACCTCAACTCCCTTATAGCTGTAACAGTTTATTACAGGCAAAAACATTCCAAATGACAAAATTTGAGAGGGGGAAAGAAGCAACTAAACCACATAAGCCACATGCATCAAGGAGAGCAGTTTTTGAGTTTAAAAATCAACCATATTACAGCATTATTAAAATATCTTAGGATAGTTATTCCTATTAGCCTTTTTGTAAACTAGCTATTTGTTCAAAGTTGGACCCATAAGAGCAGCTCAGTCTTTCATCACCATATTCAAAGAGAGGAGGGATGACTGTTTCTGGTTTATCAACTTAAAACTAGCACTTAACTATGTATTATCCAAACTTCTTCTTGGTGCTATAGCCCTCTCTCTCTGTTTGAAAAGGAAACCCATGAAGTTACAATCATAAGAAAAAAGTGCACTGTTTTTGACACACCTTTAATATGCATCAGATCTCTGAAGATGCCATCGCTTAGCTAGGCTATGCGGACACTAAATAAAATACACATCTGATTTCTTGATTATGTATTTGACTGTTTATAATCCCTGCATAGTATGTTAGCCACTGACTATTTTGAAGGATATATCTACTCATTACTGCTATGTTTCATCTCTTCTTCCTTTGCCATTTCTAAAGCCTTGAATTTCAAAGCTCACCTAACAGAAGGAAAAAAATACAAAAAGTAGACACTACTGGAGATTGCAAATGATTAGGTCAGATTTCACTCTTTGAGAATGTAGTTTAAAATTTAAGAGTTATTCCCTGCCCTTTGTTTTCTGCCATGCAGGGTGCAAAAGCTGAAGAAAGTGTGCTTGGGTAGACAATTGTCAAGAGGAAGGGGAGTTTGAGCTAATTGAGCTTTATTTCCCTCCTCCCATCTACTAACTCCAACTTTGCAGATGTTTCTCCAGACAAGTTCTATATACTTAAGTGGAGGGGTTTGGCGTCTCAGTTCACAGCATCATCTCAGAGATTTTCCTTGCTTAAAACTAGGGATGTGAACATGCATCCATGTGCACAGTTAACCAACGATCTTGGGTTCATCAATTAACCCACACAGTTACACGCTACTCCCCCCTCCCCACCCTGCTGCCTCTGTATCAGATGCTACAGCACATCTTGCTGTAGGATAGGTGTAAAGCCACACTTACTGAACTTAAATACTAGATGGCAACAAGCAGCAAATCCCCGTCATTATTAAAATCTGTTGATATTCTTAAAGAGCCCTCAACCACAGTTGTAGCTACTTCTGTCACTTTACACTAAAAAGTAAAATTGTAGGCTTCAGAGTGAAATTATTGGATTCTTATTACATAGATGAGTAATGACAATTAATGAAGAACTGGGTATGGATTAATTATTTTGTGGGAGGTACTGGGGAATATTCTCCTTCAAAAGAAAGCTGGATTTTATAGGTACATTCCTTCACTTTCAAAGCATTTGACAGCTGGTGCTTTGAAAACGGAGCAAGCATTGAACTATTCCTGAAGATTGTGCTACTGTAGTTTTGGTTATTTTGTAATGAAAATTGGGTACAAGAATTTATTTTTCCATTTTATAATCTACTACACTTTGAAATTCCAATATTTGCATAGAAAAATACAGCAAATGATTTCAAAACACATGTAGAAACAAGTTTAGTCATATCATATGCCTTAGTCATAATAAAACAGACCTTAAACATACATTAATGATAGAAGCAAGACAGTTCCATCGGATTGCTTCATGGAGTTATGTGAACTTATCGGGAAACTCCAAAGAAGAATTACAGATCATTGTCCAATTTTAATCATCACTTGTTACCAACTAACATCTGTCTTCTACAATAGGGTGAGATCCAACCATAAAGTCTCTAGTTAGACTAAAAAGTACAAGTATACTGCAGCTATTTACACAGGACTGGCTAAAAAACAGAACTCAACTGGTCATCTTCTCTTTCCAACAAATAAGATGTTTTATGGTGGAACTAAGTTGCTGAAGCTAGAGTCTGATTCGTTAGTGATCTGGGAGTTGCCATAATGGATTCCTTTTTGCAGTTCTCTCCATGTCAGTATCTGCTCTGCCAGTTCTTCAGTCTCTGTCACAAGCAAATTAATTTTTGCAAGAGCATTGTCCTGGAATACAAGATGGGAGTTTCAGAAAGTGATATTAACATGGGGTAAATAATCAAATGATGTTGCATTTTGAGGGAAGAGCATTACAGGAGATAGAAAAGCAACCAGCATTACTTACTCACCATGTTTTTCATGGTCTGAGGTATCTGAGGGATGCTCCTTATGGTCTGCAAGTGGCTTTCCAGTTTCTCAATGAAGGCCACTGCCAATGTCAATAACTCTGCTACATACCTTTAATTGGGGAAGAAATATCCAGAAACAGGCAGTTCAAAATGATGCACAATTTTAAGTCTTTCATTGCATTCTTTCCTTGATTCCCCCCACCGCCTTAACCTCTTTTCCACAATAATCCTAGCCTCCTGCCTAGAAAGGAAATCTTAAAAGAAAAATACTGAATCAGCAATAAAGGCACAGGCGGTCAGTAAATGCCCTCTTTGGTATTTAAATACGTGTCAGCGAAGACATGGCTAGTTAGGAAGAACATGTACCATATGTATAGGGACTTACCCATGTGTGAATGGTGAACAAATCGCACAAAAGAAAGGAGAAATGGTACCACACTACAGTATTATTTGAATTTGGAGAAGTATTTATGAACCCAGAATTTGAAACATATGTTTTTAAAAAGTATAAGTAAAGCTGTTATGTCATCTGCTGGAGGAAAGACAGAATACATGAACAAAGGTTCAGTGTATAAGAGTATCATGAGACACAGAAACCCCATACTATCCCTGCTGGTCAAGTGAAACAGCACTGGTAGTCTCTTACTCAATGTACATCTCCTTCCCATTCCACACAATGCTCTGTGCTGGAGATGTAGTTTAGATCTCCAGTC